AACTTTCTACAGTTTTTACCAGCATTTCTTTCAATCAAAAGCGTTTTTGTATTATTTTGGAGCACATTCATTTGATTTGAATACTTCTGCGCAACGAGTTTGGTGTGACTTTTAAATCGTCATTGCTTTGGCACGATTTTGACAATGCAAATAACTGGTTCAAATATGAGTGAGATGATTGAACACATTGACAGAATGTCACCGAATGTCCCATGTTCTACACGTCAATTTAACACCTCACGCTGACGCTAGCTTTGGCCAATCAAATTTAACGTTTCTCGCAACACATCCAAGCAATGAAATCAGGACGCGGTGTAACGAATATGTGCCACACGAAATCAGCTGTTTCAAAATATTATCATGTTTTTTAATCAGACCCCTGAGACTGCATTTTCATATTCCGAACAGTTGGAACAATTGTGACTAATACTGAATAATCCTGGTTGGATACCCAAGTTCTTATTATTAGTGCATATTTAATTTCGCCCAAGTTAGGAAAACATAATGCTATTTTGATTTGATTAACCGAAGTTCATATTATGGGCCGAGTCCAATTAGTGTACACTTAATTTCGCCAAAATTGCGAAAATATCGTCAAATTCATTTCGGTTTAAATTTTGACCGCAAATCGCTGTACACTCGTCAGAAACAGTGCTCATTCTTGCGATGACTCGTCCTGTCTCGTTGACGAATGCATGCTAGGAGCTAAATAATTTGTTAGCATTTTGCTGCATTGAAAACAACTAACACTTACAAAATAATATTTCACACTCTAATGGTCTGGCAAGATATTGAGGGGTCAATTAAAAAATAAAACAAGATATACACATGTTTGTTAGATCTTTTTAGGTGGAATCTTCGTCTTCGCTTTCGTCGTCTTCCTCGAAGTCGGTACTGGTGTCTTCGAGTTCCGAGGACGACAGCCGATGGATCTGGATGGCCTGCATGAAGGCGAGGTTGAAGAGGGAGAAGTAGAAGAAGCAGATGAAGAGGACGGTGAGTGCCAGGACGTAGACCACACCGACAAATCGATTGAGGGCGCCCTCGTCACCACAGGACACAGCCAGTGCCACATTGACTGCTCGGTAGGCCTCCTCACAGGGGAAGAGATCTTGGGTGAGCATGGAGAATGCCACACCACCGTCCTTCTCCATGAAGTCAAGCAGTTCTGTGGTCACCCTGTCATATTGATGTTCAACTTCACCTATCAGTGTAGTTTCATTGTTGGCAGCCTAAAATCGGTGAATGAAATTGTGGTAGGATATATGTCTTTATGCTTTACTACATGAAATTCACAACCCATATTCGTGTGGACACCTGATTAATTCTATTGGTGTCATCGCTACTACTGGTGATGTGTAGTACAACCACATTTAATCAACGTTTCTTGATCACTTGCAGCATAAAATGAGGATATATGCTTGTGTATTTTGCAGAATGAATTAACGATCCTCGTTAGTGTTTGGCACAGATGCTGCTAAAAGTGGCCTTGTAATGAGTAGTGGTAATTTCATATAATTAACCACAGATACGTTGAACATCACCTGCTTCTAATCGTTTCAGTGGACAATTAAACCTCCCTTCTTTTGTATTCATCCTTGTCCACGTTGTGCAGTAGGTGTATTATGTGAAATAATTAATTAGCTAATTGCATATTAATGTGTGCTGATTAAAGTCACTGTACCTATATCGCAAGACTTTCACTCAAACCGCGGTGTGTCGATCCCTTTTAGACAGGTGTGTGCTTACGATTCCTTTTGCTTTTTGGAAGAACAACATCGTGTTTGCAACTGATTAATGGATTGATAAAAGAAGAACTTAACCTCGTCAGTGACAACCAGTTGTGACTGTTGAGTTCAACCAGTGGTCATTATTAAGCAGCCACTCAGAGCTCAGAAATTGCCTCCATACCTCCACACTTTGTATTTTACTACATGAATTCACAATCCATGTTCGCGCGGTCACCTGTTTAATCCTAACCTGTTTTGGTTGGTTATTGTTGGTATGTCCTTCCAGGAAACTGTGCTATATACCTACTGGTAATATGAATTTCTTCAGCTTTACTGCAAGTCTTCAGTTTATTCCTTATGGTTCTCCTTGAAACAGAAACAATGGAGCCCACGGTTTTCGGTAGCCTGTGCTTTAAATGTAACCAGCTAACAGCCAATCATTTTCCGACCTGGTAAAAAGGACACCTCTTAAAGTATGAAATTATGATCCCTTTCAGATCAGAGCATTTGGTGACGTCTGTGTACGTGCGCCTGCAGCTTTAAGGTGGATCAGCAACTGCGGATTTAGCCACATTTTTAGCTATACGATGGAAGAAGACTAGTTAGGCTCTGAAACGAATTGAGTGATTATCGTTAAGCATGCATCAGGAGTAAGGGTATCACCTCCATACCACTGGCAAAAGTAACTACGTTCATAAAATGTCCACTTACCTGAATGGTTGTTTTGAAAGCCTCTACTAGTCCCTCAATAGGTGACAGAATATTATTTTTCTCCTTGTCGACTTTCTGAAGATGACCGCGCGTGCTATTCATCGCCGGTTCAAGGTTATTCATTTGGACGACTACTTCTTTCAAGGCGTCGATTCCCTTTGTAAAGTTATCTGATGAACTTTGGTTCTTCGAAAAATTCGTCAGTTTGGTAACAAGTGTTTCAATTAGCGTAGTGTTTAGCAGATTCGAATTCGTCGAGTTGATGAGTGCCTTAATGAAGGAAACACTGTTAAGACATGATAGACGTGCTCCCAAAAAATGACTTATTTCCACGTATTTTTAAACCTAACCGTTGTCATTTCAGAACCGTTCTAGCTAAGGTTATTTTGTAAAGTAAAACTTACAGTTAAATTAAGATCCTCAATTGCCTTCTTGAGTTCAGATTTGGCTTTGTCCAATTCACTTTCTTCCGGCAGTTTTGACGAAATATTAAGTTTCCTTATCTCATTACTGACAGTTCTAAATAAGAGAATGCAAACAGTCGTCTCAACATGTTTACGGATCATTAAGGTTCCACCTTCTGGAGCGATCTGGTCAAAATTACGTGATGGCTTATGCATCATCTAACTACGCACCGTCTTCCAAGCATGTTTCAACAGTCACACGCGTGTAGGCAATCCTCACGATCACACAAGTTGAAAAGAAACAAGGCGGTGGTGATAGTGTACAAATCTTGTACATTTCCAGCACGTAGAGGTGTCGAGTCTTAAAGAATTGCTGTATAATTGGGGTTGTGATAATGGGCATTGCGGCAAAGAAAACCAACATAACCTACGAATTTGTTGCAGGACAATATCTGTCTATTCGAAGGCATGAATGAATAAAGACGCTTCAATTTTACAAATTACCATCGCAAAGATCGTTTTTAACATGAAAAGAGGATGAAGAACGCACTTCCTTCCTTCTTTAATTCCATCCACCACTTGTGGGCTATTAACCAATTTTGAGACATCCACCAGATTGGTATATCCCACAGCAGACAGAAGGCCACGTCGGGATGACTGCTTTGTGCTGCCACGGCAGGTGTGGGTGAGGGCGTAGAGCACGTGTTTGGGAGGTGGGGTGTTGAGGAAGTCGTTGGCTCCTCCAATCGACCCACCGACAAGTGACGACCATCGCCGAGCCAACAATCCGTCCACCACGAAGTCAGTCTTGTTCACACCAGTTTCCCGTGTGACGTAGATGCAGGCTTCGCCTTTAACAGAAGGCAATTCAAAGTGGATTGCAATTTATCTTCTTCGGACCTAAGTTTCCTCACGTTGTCAATGGTGTGGTTTGTGACAGTCAAGTTAATTTGAAAATATCGCCTGCGGAGAACTACAAACAGTTCTAGCTCTGAAGATAATTAGGAGAATATATGTCTCTCCAAAGAGTCGTAAACAAACCTGATACCGACGTCAACGCGAATAGCAGAACTGCAATAATGGCGGCGAAGATGAGCAGGATTGGAATGAAAATCACCGAACAGCAGCAGACCGATCCCTTTCCACAGACAATCTTGTCCCACTTATTGCCATGTGAATCTGTAACCAATAAAAGTAATGCTCTAAAAACTTTCACGATGAGACTGTGTGCAATCGCCATAGTCGAATTGCTCTCGAATGAATTCTTTTATGGTCCACACATATGTCTAGGGAAATTCTTACGCTAGTACCCTTCTGGATCTTCATCCTCTCGAACAAATTGTCTTGAAGCAATAGAAAATTTAAATATTCGATTAACTATAAAGGTTAGTTGGCTACTCCTACCAACCACAGTGAAATGTTGTGAGGTTTTCAAATTAAAGTCGGCCATCTTGCAGCCTCTGCTTTGGCTTCAAACTGAAGCTGAAGTGCCGGAATATGTTTCTTAATTCCAGTCAAAGGTACGTTAAAGCAATTTTCAACGGTCAAGATTAGTGAACACCAAATTCACTCACATGTGAGCACGGTGTCAGCGCCAGCGTAGAGTCGATCTCGAAAAGCGCGGTAAAGAAGACG